AACAGTGGCTGGTTATTTATAGTCCAGATTGGTGGTCTCAGCCTCCACAAGGTTTTGTTTTGGGGGATAGGCTCTCATAAAACCTGGACTTGCCTCTGACTCACAATGCAGTCAAGGATAAAACCTTTAACTTCTGATCCTCCTGCCTCTACCTCCTAAGTATAGAATTACAAGAGTATGCCACTGCTAGGCAGTGGTGGCACACATCTTTAGTCCCAGCCTTCAGGAGGCAGAGGCAGGTGTTCGAGGGAGTTCGAGACCAGCCTAGTCTACAAGAACTAGTTCCAGGCCAGCCTCCAAAACCTCAGAGAAACCCTGCCTCGAACTCCCCACACACCCCCCCCCCTGCAAAAAAAAAGAGTATGCCATCATGCCTGGGTTTATGTGGTACTGGGGAGGGAGCCAGGGAGCCTTCATTCAAGCTAGGCAAACGTTACCAAATAAGCCATATCCTCAGCCTTAAATTGAATTCTTGATACTCTGCAAGAGTAGCTAGGTTAGAAATTCTAGATTAAAGAGAACTTCTTAGTGATTGTTGACACCAGTCCAGTCTTCTGGACTGTTTCGTTCCTGAAAAGATGACTACTATATGTAGGTCCAACTATTGTTCATTTGAAGACAGTCTCTTAGCATTTAAGATTTTGTTCTGTTTTTATCCTTAATGTTCTGCAGTTTTATTTCTCCAGGCTCATTGTTTATCTTGCTTGTTCTTCAGATAACAACTTTAATCAGAAGATCCTTGCTTTCCAATTCTGGAGAGTTCCTAACAATCTTCTTTTCAAATAGTTTTTCTGTTTTGGAGGATTTTGTTTTGTTTTGAGATGAGGTTAAAAACTGAGGCAGGCAAGCATAGGAATAGTTTAGTAACATGGTACTCTACTTGGATTGGGTTGTGCACACCCCTTCTAATGATGCACTTTGGCAGCCTATTGCCTTTACCCAAATGTATCTCAAAGATGGACCCAGCAACCCCGACCCCAGCTGCATTGAGCAACATGCACATCTTTCTCTAAATAAGTTTATCCTACCCTAACATCAATCAAACTTAGTTTCTTTTCAAATATATCCCTAATATATTGGAAGCAACATGTATAAAGAACAGACAAGGGCTGGAGAGAGAGCGAGCTCAGGAATAAACTTTAGTGTCACACTAAAGACCTGAGTTTGGTTCCTGGCACAAGTGACTCCAGAAGGATGTCTCTGACCTCCACACACAAATACATGGCAAAACATATATCTACACACAAATATGGGGCAGAAGTTATAATCTAATGGTTGATCTGGCCTGAACTGGTTTTGGGAACATGTACAGTAAAGGCAAACTCCTTAGATAAACTTGTAGGGAGAATCCCAATTTACCATCTTGGGTCTATGCATAACTGAGCATGCACATGATAACTTCCAGGATGGACAGGACTATATGTCCTAATCATCAAAACAGAGCCACCCAAACTATGCCAGTTACTAACTACTAACCACTCTAGAACTCCATTAAAAGAAGCCCGAACACTACCCTGGTCCTTAAGTACCTCCTCTGGCCACTTTCCATTTTGGCAGTGTATTCCTTTCTAAGCTGTTTACTGCTTTGCTTTGAATGAAGCTATCCTACTACTTGTGCAAACTGTACAAGGTATTTTTTTCAATTATTTGGACAAGAGGCCAAGAACCTGGGGATACCCAATTCCAATCATCAGTAACAAGGTCTCTCTATGTAGCAAAGGCTGGCTTACAAGCTTGCCTATGTAGTCCAGAGTGCCGTCATGGGCCCCCCTGCTTCTGCCACCCACCTGCTGGGGTTCCAAGACTGTGCCACCATACTCAGCATGCATTTGCTTCTCAATCCCACCCTCTTCTTTTACCCTCAGAATTTCTATTACATGTCTGTTTTCATTCATTCTTTTGTTGTTTTAAAACAGGGTCTTACAGCCGGGCGGTGGTGGCGCACGCCTTTAATCCCAGCACTTGGGAGG